TTCAAAGTTTTAAGCATCAAATCCAATGATTTGATGTTTACATAACTGCGAGAAACAAAAGTATATAGTTCGTTTTGTTAGAATCTGCAAATCGAATTTAAACATTGTGTTCTTTTTGCATCTCGTTCACAGTGTTACCACCTTAATTCTGATTATTACTATTATTATTATTATTATTATTATTACTATTATTATTACTATTATTTTTATTATTATTACTATTACTATCACTATCACTATTACTATCACTATTACTACTATTATTACTGTAACTACAACTATTACTATTACTATTACTATTACTATTACTATTACTATTGCTATTACTATTATTATCACTACTGTTATCAGTATTACTGTTGTTATTACAATCGCTGTTGTGATAGTTGTATCAAAGCTTATTGTGCGATTAGTGCCCTATAGAGTTATTCAGTATCAATACCCAGACCGTAGAATAAAGTATCGTTGGTCTAGTTACCTGCAGAAGTATCGGTCAATTTTTCTGAAGACACAATCGGCATATCATCATTCAAATAAAAAAAAGCTTTTTTTTTTGCTTATTTCAGTGATAACTATAAGGTGATCAAAAACAAAATTTTTACCTTTTTTTTTTAACTTTTTGCATGTCATAAGGTCTTAGTGAAAACAGCAACAGCAACAGCATCAATAGCAAAATAAAAAAAGAAAAAAAGAGTTGAAAAAGTAGAAGTGGAAAATCAGTCTAAGCTTTATTGCTTAGTGAGTTGTAAGTAAATGTTGACTAATTCTCTTGATCATACAACAGCCTCCATTTTTTTCAGCTTTTATTTTTTTCCAAATCTTTTATTAAGCATTTTAAGTGTGCAAATCCTTCGTTCCTTTTTTCTTTTCTTTCCTCTTCTTCTATTCTGATTATTTTAATCTTTAGGTTTTAGTTAAAAGTCGGAAACATTATACTTCTTTTATGTGTTACTTGATTAATCTTAGCTATAGGTTCTATGTCTAACGCTTCATTTTATTGTTTTTGTATGCTTAAATAAAAAACTTCATTTTATTTCTGTGAATAAAAAAAAGACAAAAGAAAAAAAAACAACAACAAAATTGAGTTTAAAACTTAATTTAATTTAGAAATTTTTCTTTATAAACTGTTTAACTGTTTTTTTAAACTGTTTTTTTAACTATTCTATCTTTTTTCTCTGCTTAAAAAATAATAAAGAAAGAAAAAGAAAGGAATAGATTTCCAAATACTTGATTGATTCTGACTTGAATTTTTTTTGATGTCAAGTTTTAGCAACATTAATCTAGAAATTTCGTCAACAGCCGCAACTTTTAACTATATAGGTGCCAAATCTCGTAACTAGTTAGCAGCGAAAAAGTGATGCTTAAGATGATGCTGACAAATCTGATGACATTGGTTTCTTCCTGTAGAGTAGGATAACTAAAAACGAAACAGTTGAAGCATAGCAAAGACATCAATGTTACTGTTCAATTTTCAAGCTATAAACATAAAATATCATATATTTTTGAACAATTTTTACCTCTTATTATATATTATTAAATATATATATATATATATATATATATATATAT